TCATACGCAGACATAACACGCACTTGGCAGGATTTTTATCAATTAACTACGGAAATTGTGCTTTTTAAATTCTTCGTTTTGTACAACCAATAAAATTGTGATTCATCATTTGTTTGCTTTGGATCTGCAGAATCTAAATAAATAACTCAAAGGTGACTGACTGACTAACTGACTGACATAGTGATCTATCGACGCACAGCCCAAACCACCGGACGGATCGGGCTGAAATTTGGCATGCAGGTAGATGTTATGACGTAGGCATCCGCTAAGAAAGGATTTTACGAAACTTCATCCCTAAGGGGGTAAAACGGGATTCACTCTAGTATACTATAATGATGGTTAATATACTTTTAATTGGAGGTGCAAATAATATCGTTGTATAAATAGTGAGACATGTTTTAAAAAGCGACAACAGCGAATGTGTTGGAATAACTTCCAGGAACTAGGAGATTTGAGATTCCAGAAACGTTGGTAGTATTGTGGTGGAACGACTATTTAATTGAAGTCGTAACACAAGCTTATTTAGCTTATCACGAGGTGTTAACGGGCTAAACTAGGATGACTATACTAAGATACGTAGTACACCACATTAACCAAAACTGGAAAGACTTTAAAAAGATAGGTATAAAAAGTTAACCTTTCGTTTGTAAAATTTTTCACACAAAATATTAAGCAAATCTCCGTCTCTAGGTCTTTTGTCTGTGAAACTTTTTTAATAAAATAAAAACAGCAGAATTAAACTAAAAACAATGTGGTTAACTTCGTCTACAGCCTGTCATTAAGAACGAGCACTGCTTCATAACAATTGCAAAAAACTAGAGAAAGCCTTATTATGTCAAAGGAGGCTTAGCATATTATGCCTTTGCTTTGGGTAGAGACAAGATTTTGTTTAAAACTTATTTTCATGAGTACAGTCGAGATTAAAAATATTAACCGACTTACAAACCCTTGAAAAGGAGGCTGACAATAGGGACAGAGTTTCTTGCGCTGCTTCTTCTCAGCACTGGCCCATTTATTGTCCCGAAGCAGTGGTAGGGTTAATACTGGGGCGTGTAAAAGCGCCTATTAAAAGCCTATTTGCAAAAATAAATGAGTTTTATAAGTTTTTTTATTGAGTTCAAATATTTTATGCAAAAGCTTACCGTCATAGTTAATTTTGAAATAGTAAAATCGATTCATATTTTTGCACCTATTTTGTTAGTGTAATTGATCCAAAACCTGTATATTTTTTGTGGAAATATGAAGATATTTTGCAAACTAACTCATAAGCAAGTTCGTTTTTTTTAACACCTCATCTTTAGAGACTGCTAAAAATCTTTACAAACATTCTATTTACTCGCAACTCCTGCTTCTAGGATAAAGTTAATTTTCCTACGAAACTTGTCTGCATTTCTTTTAATTAAAATCTTCTCGTGATTAAAACTTTATCGGCCCATTTGCATTTTAGTTTTGGTCCATTTTTATCAGGTCCAAGATTGATTAAATTTCTACCACATTTATATTCTGGGAGAGTTTTCTCATCAGAGCATGCTGGAGAAAAACTACGCTGGAAGGTAAATTAAAAGTTATATTTTTAGTTTTAGTTTTTACTTACTCTACCTCACCTTTTACTTAAGCATTTTAATTAACTTCTATTCGTGTTTAACATTTTACTAGTTAGGTATTTAAATATTACAAGAAAATTATTTTGTAGGTAACTCCTTTCTACTCACGGCTTGACGTTTCGGCTGCTATGCTAACCGCGAGCCGCCAGTCTGCTTGTGAACACGGCTGCAGCCGAAACGTCAAGCCGTAAATACATAATGTACTCGTAACTCATTAATAAACGACGCGTTAAGACCCGTGTCTTTCAATTTAGTTGAAATGAAACGAATTTAAAATCTTAAAGTTAACTCCTTTGTTGTCTATTTGCTAGAATTTTAGATTCTTTTCTCCCTAAAATTATAGGTTAGATTCCTATACACACGAATCATTATGTAGGTACCTACCTATAATTACCTACGAAAATATTGTTTTAACATCAGATTTTCATATCATTAAGTTGAATTTAGAAAAAAGTCCATTTATTTAGGCTCTTACTAAAAAATAGTTGCTTCATAACATACAATACATAGGTAAGTTTAACCATATAATCTTAAATATGAACCATCGCGGAACTACACATTTAATTGGAGGACAAGTACCTTGACTTGGATCATCCAATTCAATATTAACGTCGCACTCCATTCACAATTCGAACCCTTAGTGTGGGTGGACTAGACACTACTCTAAATAAACGATTAGCGGAATAATCCAATTCAACGTTCAGGTAATCGACGTTAAGCAGAAACTTAACTAATTGACTTTGGTGGCATTGGAAATTGCAAAGCATAGAAGCTTCTAGAGAAACATAATTATTTCTTAAAATTAATTGAACTTTATGTGTGTCACATAATATCAATTAGTTTATAAACCAGTTAGGATGTTTAGTTTGTATTAAAATAACCTGCTGGAGACTGTACCAAATTTTTCATATCTTTTTACTTTTAAGCTAGTTTGTTGGTTTGAGAATCTCTATCAACAAAAAGACTCAGGACTGATATGACGTAAAGAAGAGAACTTATTTAAAACTTAAACAGAGCGACCCACAAACCATTTGTAATCTGAATAGAGCCTTCTACACTTTTTTCGTTCCCAAGCACATGACGTTACGAACTTACTATCCAAGTTCAAAGTGATCAAGTTGGAGGAAGTTCGTATAGCAATCAATAGATGGCACTGTCAAGTTTGTTGCTAAACTGCATCACGCTAACAAAGTTCTGTACAAGATCGAATAAGTCAAATTTTTACCGTAATTTTTCAAATGCAAATTACATAAGGTAAAGTTTTATGAGCAATACTAAAATAAGTTAAATAACTCTAAGTAGGTATAACCAATAAATAAACATTCATCACCACTATGAATCTCACTTAATATCAGGACGATTGCGGTCAAATACCTTGTTATTCTACATAAAAAAAATTAAATCTTTTAGCCTAGGTGCAGACCACTGACTTTTAGTTGGCCGATAGTTGGGCCCGATTTTAATGTATGAAGAATCGGCCAATGCCAAATCGGTGTACGTGCGCACTTTCATACATCTCCATAATGATTAATAGCCTGACTAAACTATCGGCCAACTTAAAGTCGGTGGTCTGCGCCTATGCTTAGCAAGAAAATTGTAAAGTAGCCAAACAAGCATTTGAAGAAATCTGTAGCATATTCTACATTTATCAAAATTAATGGCTCGAAACATTAAACTTTAATTTTCTTTAATGATTGAAGAAATAGCAAAATACACGACTTACTAAGGGAAATTCGGTTGCCCCATTCCATTCATCCAAACTCGACACATTTTCATACAGAAACATGTTGAATCTCCTAAATTACTACGGCAAATACACATTACACATCCTTCACCGTCCGGAGGGATCTGTGATTTATATTGGACTCGAACCTCGGTCATTTCGATATGGAAATCGGGTAATTTGTGCGTGAGATGCATGCAGATTAGGATTGGAAACTTATTGATACTGAACTAGTTCGATAACCTTGACTTGGGATGAAGGTACTGAAGGAAGGTGAATACTTTAACTTGTCCCAAAAGACATAAAAACGTGAAAAATCACATGAGAATTTCAAGAGCGTGAACTTTACCTGCCTAGCTCGTACTTTTTACATTTTTGTAGAATGTATTTCCTGATTGAAAAAGAGGCTGATAAATGGGACTGATGCCCGTTTTCACCATCAATCCCTAAATTGAATGTCACCCCTATGAAAACAAAATTCCTGTTATGTGTTACCATAGGGGTCACTTAAAAACTAGGGATTGATGGTGAAAACGGGCATTTAAAATAGAGACTTGTAGCAGTACCTAGGACACTCTCTTATGTATAATTCAATTTTGAATAATTGAAACCTACGAAACATAACTAACAAGCAAAGTCACAGTAAAAGCCAGTATGGATCCAAATTAGACCGTAACAATAAACTTAAACTCATCTTAAGATGTCCGACAATAAAACGAAAGTAATTGCTCGACGTAAAACGCGAATTAATGCGGAATTATCCTTAAATACCGGTTAGATGCTTTGTTGCTGGATTATTACTTTGCTTTGGCATCTTTGAAGAGACTGCGTCATAAAATGCCAGCTTCTTGGTAAAAAATAATTTAGTTTTATTACCTTTTCGTAGACATCTTGGAGAAAAGACGTCTTTTTTAAAAGCTCTACTATGGCATCTAGACTGCGCTGGCCAACTCATAAAAAAGAGTAAGCTTCGGCCTGCATCTTCAACATAATAGAATGCGATGATCAGGCTGAAGGTGAAAGCGAGCTTCACCCGGAATCCTAAACCACAGAGGAACTGGCTATCTTACCTCTAACTGCCGAAATACGACAATGCTGTTCCATCTATCATAACAGGTCGCATTGTGACATTGCGACAGAGTTGTGAAGGTGGTAGCTAGCCAGGCGAACTTAGAACAAGCCCTATCACCAACCAAACTAAGCAGAATATGGTGCTCCCACTGGAAATCGAACCCGGGACCTCTCGATCTGAGGCAGTTGCTCTTTCTTGCCACTAGAATCTAGATCACAGAGGCGGTTGATTTATGACATGATCAAGCTTTAAGGTTTGTCAAATCGCTAATTTTTATTAACTGCTTTTGTGGTTAGGATAATAATATTTTTTGTTATAACACATTAATTCGTTTCTTTGTTGCCAGCCGACAATTTTTTCAAACTTACTCATTTGAGACGAAATTAATATTCATGAACTTGTAATACGTGTAAAAAAACACCCGTAATTGCTAATAATATAAACATTGCTACAATAATTAAGGTTTAATGCATAATTTTTTCTTCATGCTCAATTAAAAAAGTTATTGCGTTTCGTAGGATCTTTAACAAGACAAATGGGGCCTTGGAATTGTGGGTGTTACTATGAATTCGGTATAAAAACCTGGAACATTATGATAGCTCATCATTCGACTTAAATAATTGTAATAATCAACATGATCGCCAAGGTGAGTACAGCTAATAAATTAAAATTAAAATAATAACTTCATTTAGTAATATTCCATTGATAATATTAATCATTATAAATAATTAAACGTAAGCATTATTATCATGTCTATTCTTATTTATTAAACTTTAAGATCACTCAGTAGTCAAAACAGACATTTCTGTTTTTTTTTTATTAGAGAAATATTTAAATGCTAATTTATGTAGTGATATTTTGTTACAATGACCTTAATTAGTACAAGTTTTTCTCTAAGACGCTATTTTCTCAAAAAAGACACCATTAATTTACCTAAAAATCATATTCAAAACATTTTTAATTGTTTTTTTTTTCAAAATTATATTGTGATAACTTTTCACTTTATTTAACTGAGAAAGAGGTTAAACTTTAGATTATGTTTGTTATGTCATACCTACAGGAGGTGTGGAATCATCAGCAATATAATTATAATTGAGACGCAACTTCGCAATATTGAACAATTTACAAGTTAATAATGATTGAGCTAATAATATTGTAGTTTGAAGTCAATGTCTTAATGAGTATTCTCTTGAACGCGTTTATAAGACTGAATCATATAATGTACCAAAAATACAATCGTATTAATTGGTATAATAACTTTGATTTAAGTGTAATTAATACAAATACCGTAAAGATACAAATTGGTAATGATTAGTAATGACATCACTATCTTTACAGGTCACTCTCCTCGCCTGCCTTATCGGCTTGGCATATGCCAGTGGCATTGGCAACACTGGCTTGGGAGCCTATAGCGGTCTTGGCTACGGTGGGCTCAGCGGCCTCGGCGGATACGGTGGTCTTGGCGGCCTTGGCGGCTACGGCGCGTATGGCAACGGCTATGGCGCCGGTTACGGTGGCTACGGAGCCGGTTACGGCGGCTACGGAGCCGGTAACGGTGGCTACGGAGCTGGTTACGGTGGCTACGGAGCCGGTTACGGTGGCTACGGAGCTGGTTACGGCGGCTACGGAGCCGGTTACGGCGGCTACAGTTCAGTCCACCCTGGTGGCGCGACGTCTTACGTTAACATTGTCAAGCACATTACTCCTAAGGCCGGCTACAACGGATTGTACGGAGGAGCTGGTTACGCCGGAGCCGGTGTAAATGGCTTGGGATATGCAGGTGCTGCTGGCTGGCCATCTAATGCTGCCGGTTGGCCTAACGCCGGCGTTCCCTACGCTGGCGGTTACGGCGGCTACGGCGCTGGTTACGGCGGCTACGGCGCTGGTTACGGTGGCTACGGCAACAATGGTTGGTAAATAAAGAAGCTGGCAATTGTTCGATCATTCAATGTTTTAATTAGACTGATGATACTTGAATGCAAATGATGAATGAAATATTAATGAGGTTTTATTAGGATAATTATTTGTTTTATTTCATTTAGCACCCACCATTATAATAGAATAAAGCCTTCTCTTTAGGTTTTCAGAAAACGATCAGTCAGCAAGGTCTTGACTTTTCATCTCAATTTTCGTTTAACCTAGTGTTATTATAAGTGCAGCTACATGGTTAATTCCATAAGTAGAATCTATAATTAAAATGTTGCATGATGCGTGTCCATTAATTCTTATTTTGACTGTAGGTGAGTTTGTACTTCAAAAAAGACTAATAAGTATAGTTTAAAACACGTTTATTAACAATTCCCTAACATTATTTGCAAATAAAGGTTTTATATTAATTTTAACTCACGCAATTAAGTCTGGACCCTTGGGAAATTACGAAGGTGTACCCTGACGATACAATGAGTATTATTGTCCAGATAGGCGGGAATACGGATTTTGAGAATGGCAGACAATGGTAACTGGAGTTCTTGTGACTTCTCATCATCATCATCATCTCACTTAGCCATTGGACGTCCACTGCTGAACATAGCCCTTTCCAATGATTTTCATGTTGCCCGATTGGTAGCGGCCTGCGTCCAGCGCCTTCCTGCTACCTTTGTCTAGAAGAGCTGGTAGGGCAAACACTCATGTTTATGTAGATAAGACCAAAATAGCCACTGAAAGTATATGAACGTGCCACGCATTACAGTTCGTTACGCGAATCAAGCTGCCATCCGATAGCATAAAAGTAGACTTAAAAACTACATATTTCGTCACTTTTTCCACAAAATCCATAAAGCTACGGTTCCAATATACATCAGCAAAGTCCAGTCAATGAATGATTTAACTACGGTGTAGAGAGAAATACCTACTTGGAACACAATTTTTGACTTCGTATCTTTGTTTGGACTAGTTAGGAGGTGAACAACATATCAAAAGTCCCCCGCCCTTAGCCCTTGAGCAGACGGGGAGAGGGGGGTTTAAGGGTCACATTTTTCGGTTTCACACTTAACTTTCGTAAACTATGACCAACGCGTTTTATAAACCGCTCGCCATCCTCCAAGACAGTGTGTAACCGCCACTTAAACGATAACAATACTCGTTCATTCGAAACCCGAGGGCGGGAGTGTATCGGAATTCTTTAAGTGAGTTCTTATGTCGTGAATTAGTGATCTAATTGGTTCGTTAGTGGGCATTAAACCATTCACTTCAGTAGATAAACGATTTCTAGGAATATCGATTACAATTTTATCGATAAAGCCTGTTAAGCCGGTTTCTACCAAAGCGGAGCGGAGTAGAGACGAGAAAATGTGTTTTGTTTTATAAACAATCAGATTTCGTTATTTGCCTACTCATCTTGTCTTCGCCAAGTTTGGGTTCGGAAATCTGACTTGTTATTTAAAATCTCCTTTCGTCTTCTCTCTTCTATGCTTTGGTGGAAACTGGGATTAACAGAGCTATTTTATATCCTAATTGTTGCACCACTTCAACTTTAATGTAGCTAGGATAGAGAAGTACTGCTTGACACAAAATTGTAACGTCATTGTCAGTCATTTTAACTTTGGCCGGTTCGTCACTAAAACTACTCTCCAACTTAAAAACTTCATTAAATTAATTTCGTTGCTGATCCAATGGTAGTTTTTCCATGGAGGTCTTCACTAATTGTTTTTTCACTGGCGGCCAAGCTGCAGATTTTAGCTACACAGGAGTTGCAGCAATTAAAAAGAGATTAAAAGAGTTCCGTTCTCTCTTATTCAATTTCATAAACTATAGGCTGGTGCCGGTGTCAGACTGGCCGAATCGAGACCCGAGGAACACTTGTTCCGTCGCCGCCAGATTATCATGGTGCACCCTCTAGTAACAAACGCTATAAAATTATATTTACCTTACCACGAGGGATAATAAACGGGTAACAAATAAAATCTTACATTTTACGTTACACATAAATACCCATAGTCTGTGCCTACCTTAAGTTACCAGCGAAATAATTCTTCATTTCGTTGGAAACTCTAGGCTCTAAACTTGTCTAACTAAGATCCCGTAGGCATCATTAGTTCCAACATTTATGGGACTCTGGGAAACTGCTATTTGTAAGCCCGGGGGAATATCACAGTCATGTCCTACGCAGTAACAGATAGTTATGTAGGTCTGTCTGAAGTTTTATTTATTTACTAGCGGCCGCCCGTGACTTCGTACGCGTGGATCCAGTTTTAGGGGTGGAGTTTCGTAAAATCCTTTCTTAGCGGATACCTACATCATAACATCTACCTGCATGTCAAATTTCAGCCCGATCCGTCCAGTGGTTTGGGCTGTGCGTTGATAGATGACTATGTCAGTCAGTCACACCGATCTTGTCGCGACAAGGACAAATTTCCGTGCTTTTAAGCGATTTTGTGAAAAATATTGTTGGCAGGTAGTTGCTAATTGCTCATAAAATAGGCTCCCTTAATTTAATTTATTGTCCGTGGTGCATATTCTTAAAGGTTTTAAACCTTTGTTTGTCACCTGTCATCCGCTTTGCAATGGAGGGAAGTCGAACCTTAATTTCGAACTCCTCCTATGTTCTTCTGATTAATTTCGTTGCGGGTCCAATGACAATTTAACTTTCCCCGGGACAAACTTGACCTTCATTGGTTGGGTTTTTGTGGCGTTCAAGCTGTAGATCCTGGCTACACAGGAGTTGCAGTGGTGGGAACGAGAGGTGGGAATAGTCCCGTTTTTATGTCAGTCAGTCAGTCAGTCACCTTTGAGTTACATATATTATAATTTGGAAACTCAACAGTTTTGTTTATCTGGAGCTTTGTTTATAATTAACATGTTATAACAAGATCTGCTTTAGCCATTTACAGTCTCACCGCTTATACTAAATCAGCTCAGTATTTATTGTTACAATACGAACCACATACAATTCTTGCTAATTATAGAATTCTACAGCATATGGCTGAATGCAGAACTGTCGGCCACGGAGTTGAGGCCACGTACCGGACGCAGCGTGGGAAGTCCACTCTCAAGGTGAACTGACGACCTCATAAAGATGGATGGAGGCAGCTACCAACCAGGCGATGTGGAAATTATTGGTGGAGGTCTATGTTCAGTAGTGGACGTCCTGTGGCTGAAATGATGATGATGACTATGATGACAGCATAATATGGAATCATTAACATAAGGCTGGGTTACACAATCTTACTTTAACTTTGTTAAACGTCAAAAATCTGTCAAGCTCCATACAAAAAACACCGGTCATCGTCATAGTTACGGTCAATGTTAGGTGGTGCAACTCACCCTAAGTATTTATAAGGTTTTTTTGCCACCTCTATCTTAGTTGATACAAGGCTATAAAACGTTTTCTTTATGTGCGAAATTGGCGAGTACAGCTAAGTATATAAAGCAATGTACGGACAATGGCACATCAAGTTTAAGCACCGTGAAATCTTATGTAGGTACCTAGTGGTAATTAGGGCAATTCGCAACAAAAATCTAGTCTGAAATGTAAAACAGCTTCATAAAAAGAACTATGAATAATGCCTGAATTCAATTTGTTTTCAGAAACACGTAAACGGAATTTTAAATACAGTTGCCAACTTCTTTATTACATTCACCTTTTGTAGGTTACCAAAAGACGAGGGTATTTATGTAGCCTACGTTTGAAACGTTTTATTTTTTAATTTCATTAAGTTTTAATTAAATTAATGGATTTTTAATTTGGTCGACCTTCTTAAGTCCTTGAGAAGGATCAAAAAAACGTTTTAGTAAATGAAAGCGCTTCGTTTAATTATAGCACGCAAATATTTTTGATGTATTGAGATATTTTGGAATAAATAAAATAAAACGAGGCACTTTGCAACTCTTGTATAGTCAACATCTATAGCGTAGTTACTAAAAAAGGAAGGCAATCAATTTTGTCGAATACTGTAGGTACTGTTTTAATGCAGAGATAGGATTTTCCACCTCGTGCTTAAAACTCTAAAGATAATACTTAACCAGATGTGTAGTGACTCTGATTATTGTATTTCATCAGATACCATGGCATCTGATGAAAAGTGATGATCAGGTGGAACCGAGATTTTACCAAAATTCTAAACCATAGATAGGTTTCAATGTAAAGATTTAGTAAAAAGTTATAGTACCTACCTAATTAAGTTGAGTATGAAGTCTGTAAACGTTTAAGTAAGTAATATGTAGCGTTTATGTATCACACTTCTGAAAGCTTTGAAAGCTGTTGCTCTAACCTAACAAAGTGTTTTAGTGCTCTCTGCAACGTTCATAGCAAATTACATTGTATCTTTTATGATTATTATACATAAAGACGTTTGCAAGGATACAGAAGATTATTAACAACTGCATTAGAGTAGTGGTTGAAAACTCGGCTAGCACTAGCACTAGAGACGTGGGTTCGATCCCCATCGGTAGGTTACTCTTATTTACTATATGGTTGAGTATTACTTTTATCTGGTATCCAGATGCCAGTATCCATGGTATAGTATTTTTATTTAGTTGCCATTCACGAAGGCGAGTGAGCTTTAAATGTGTGGTAGCTCGCTACAATAATTTTTTTTCAAAAGTTTTAATAGACATCACACTATTTTCTCAACTAATTTACCGTCGTCTAAACTAACTTTGCTAAGTTTCAAACTGCGTAAAATTACAAAGTTACTATGAAAATAGTCATTATTTGAATTCATTAGAATCGCTCTCAGTTAAAATCTTTCAAAGCACGCCTTCCATGAAAAATTTCAGGCTGTCTATTCAGAGACTTTTTTTTATCAAATGCCTACATTTAACATTATATCTGCGAAACCAACATACATCTAAAATACCTAACTTCCAATTTTCTACGCAAACATCCTTTTTTCATCCCGATGCCGTTTTTCGAGTGCTTCTCTCGTTGAGCACTCCCATCGATGGGCCACTCGGTCAAATAGCCAACTACAAGTATTGGCATTTTTACAAGTTAATGTAGATGTTTTTAGTCAATATTAACGAGCATATTCAAGTTAAAACCCAAGGTTTATGAGTTTTT